AAACACTTGGTGGTTAGACTCTGGTGCTACTACTCACATAAGTGTTTCTATGCAGGGTTGCATGAGCTACCGAAAGCCAAGTGATGTTGAAAGACACATCTTTGTGGGCGACGGACAATCGGTAGATGTGGAAGCAATTGGGCACTTTAGGTTGTTGTTAGGAACTGGTTATTATTTGGATTTAAAAGATACTTTTGTAGTACCGTCTTTTAGACGGAATTTGGTTTCTGTTTCTGTATTGGACAAATCAGGTTATTCTTGTTCATTTGGAAACAGTCAATTCAGTTTATCTTTTAATTCAAATGTTGTGGGAACCGATTACTTGAGTATTTATGACAACCTATATTTGCTTGATACAATTGCTTATTACAATGAATCCTTGCATGTGGAATCACGTGGTACTAAGCGTAAATTAAATAAGGAAAATTCGGCGACATTATGGCATAAGCGCTTAGGTCATATCTCAAAAGGTAGAATTGAGCGTCTTGTGTCTGATGGCATTTTGGATTCCCTTGATTTTTCGGACTTCGACGTATGTGTTGAATGTATCAAGGGAAAACAGACCAAAGTGAAAAGATTAGGTGCCAACAGATCTTCGGATGTCTTAGAATTGATACATACGGATATTTGTGGGCCATTCCCTACGGAATCCTGGAATGGTCAACAATATCTTATATCATTCATAGACGATTACTCACGTTATGGGCACCTATATCTTATTCATGAAAAATCTGAGTCTCTGGACATGTTCAAAGCCTATAAAGCTGAAGTTGAGAATCAACTCAACAGAAGAATTAAAACCGTCAGATCTGATCGTGGTGGTGAGTACTACGGTAGATATGATGGTTCAGGTGAACAACGTCCAGGACCATTTGCTAGATACCTAGAGGAATGCGGTATCGTCCCACAGTACACTATGCCGGGTTCACCTAACATGAATGGTATAGCTGAAAGACGAAACAGGACTCTTAAGGATATGGTAAGAAGTATGATTGCTCATTCTTCTTTACCAGAATCACTCTGGGAAGAAGCACTTAAGACAGAAATTCGAAGAAAACAACCTTTTTATAAGACTCTTTTACACAACAAAAAGAAAATTACAACTCTTGAGAAAATAAACGCAGGATCGTTGTTTGGATCACTGCTTTCGTGGGATCTTTGCCTGTGCCGGGAGCGCTTTGACTCGTGGACCACCAAATCACAGATTATGATTGAATGAATCGTGAGGGGTTTATGATTCTGACTTTATTTATCGAAGTGAGAAATTGAAACGATATCTTATCGATGTAAGATAGTCGTTCTTCTTGAAATCAAGTCAAAGCCTGATTATCAAGGATTGGCCGTAAGATCAGCACCTCTGCTCTCTCTCTGCTCTGAATTGCTCTGAAGTGCTCCAAAAATGATCCGCCCTCTGTGAAAATAGCCTTCGGGGGGTATTTATAACCCTCTGGATGAACAGTGCTCGCGAGACAGCATTTGCTGTCTCGGCGGGCGAGACAGTGTTTGCTGTCTCGCATTTGTGGGCCATTCCCTACGGAATCCTGGAATGGTCAACAATATTTTATATCATTCATAGACGATTACTCACGTTATGGGCACCTATATCTTATTCATGAAAAATCTGAGTCTCTGGACATGTTCAAAGCCTATAAAGCTGAAGTTGAGAATCAACTCAACAGAAGAATTAAAACCGTCAGATCTGATCGTGGTGGTGAGTACTACGGTAGATATGATGGTTCAGGTGAACAACGTCCAGGACCATTTGCTAGATACCTAGAGGAATGCGGTATCGTCCCACAGTACACTATGCCGGGTTCACCTAGCATGAATGGTGTAGCTGAAAGACGAAACAGGACTCTTAAGGATATGGTAAGAAGTATGATTGCTCATTCTTCTTTACCAGAGTCACTCTGGGGAGAAGCACTTAAGACAGCAGCTTACATTCTGAATAGAGTACCAAGTAAAGCAGTTGCTAAAACACCTTATGAGCTTTGGACTGGTCGAAAGCCCAGTTTAAAGCATTTACATATTTGGGGATGTCCAGCTGAGGCAAGGCCTTATAGGCCAAATGAAAAGAAATTGGACTCCAAAACAGTTAGCAGCTACTTTATTGGGTACCCTGATCGCTCTAGGGGCTATAAGTTTTATGATCCCACTATAAGGAATATTTTTGAGACGGGAACAGCAACATTCTTTGAGGATGTTGAGTTTGGGGGGAGAAATAAGGTTAGAGACATTGCTTTTGAGGAGGAATTGGACTCAAATCCAATCCATACAGTTACTTCTGATAATATTCAGGTTCCTATACCTGTTGTTGCTCAAGAAGTAAATCCGGAACCTCAAGATGACAATGTTGAACAACTCCCTGTTCCAGAAGAACAAACTCAACAACCTCAAGAACCAGTGCCATTAAGGAGATCCACGAGAGAAAGGAGAAATGCTATTCCGGATGATTATATTGTATTTCTCCAAGAACATGAGGAAAGTAGTGGAATGTTAGAAGATGATCCAATCAACTTCTATCAGGCCATGAAAAGTTCTAACTCTCAACAGTGGATTGATGCCATGAATGAAGAGTACAAGTCTATGCAAGACAATAAGGTTTGGAAACTTGTCTCATTACCAGAAGGTGCAAAACCAATTGGTTGTAAATGGATTTTTAAAACCAAACGGGATGCAAACGGTAATGTGGAGAGGTATAAGGCACGTCTTGTGGCTAAAGGCTATACTCAAAAGGAAGGCATTGATTATACAGAGACTTTCTCTCCGGTTTCATCGAAAGACTCTTTCAGAATAATCATGGCACTTGTTGCTCATTATGATCTTGAGTTACATCAGATGGATGTTAAGACAGCATTTCTCAATGGCGACATTGATGAGATGATCTATATAGTGCAACCAGAAAACTTTGTGTCAGGAGACCCAAAGAATATGGTTTGCAAATTAAGAAAATCCATCTATGGACTCAAGCAAACTCCTCGTCAATAGTATCATTAGTTTCAACAAATAGTTATCTCGTTCGGTTTTGAGATGAACATTGTTGATGACTGTGTATATCACAAGTTCAGTGGGAGTAAGTATATTTTTCTGGTTCTGTATGTCGATGACATCTTGCTTGCCACTAATGATATAGGCATGTTGCACGAAACCAAGAGATTTCTATCAAAGAATTTTGAGATGAAAGATCTTGGGGACGCCTCTTTTATATTAGGGATCCAGATACATCGAGATCGCTCTCGGGGTATTCTTGGATTATCACAAAAGAGCTATATCGATAAGGTACTTAAAAGGTTTGGCATGCAAGATTGCAGACCAGGTGACACCCCTGTTGCTAAAGGAGACAAGTTTAGTCTCAATCAGTGCCCTAAAGGTAACCTTGAAATTCAGGAAATGCAGAAGATTCCTTATGCTTCGGCTGTAGGAAGTCTAATGTATGCTCAGGTATGTACGCGTCCGGATATTGCGTACATTGTTGGGATGTTAGGCAGATACTTAAGCAACCCTGGTATGGATCATTGGATAGCAGTCAAAAGGGTTATGAGGTATCTTCAGAAAACAAAAGATTACATGCTCACATACAGAAAATCAGAGAAATTAGAGGTCATTGGGTATTCGGACTCTGATTTTGCTGGATGCCAAGATAGCAGGAAGTCTACATCAGGCTACATTTATATGTTAGCAGGAGGAGCTATATCATGGAAAAGTGTCAAACAAACACTAGTAGCTTCCTCCACTATGGCAGCAGAATTTGTAGCTTGCTATGAGGCATCCAATCAGGGAATATGGCTGCGAAATTTTGTCACGGGACTGCGCATTTTGGAAAATGTTGAAAGACCACTAAGGCTATATTGTGACAATAAATCTGCAGTAATGTATTCCAATAACAACAGGAGCTCAACTAAGTCAAAACATATTGACATTAAGTTCCTGGTTGTGAAAGAAAGGGTACAGAGTGGACAGATATCCATAGAGCACATTGGGACAAACTCCATGATAGCTGATCCTCTTACTAAGGGATTGCCACCTAAGGTCTTTCATGAGCATACTGCTCATATGGGTGTGGTATTATTTGAGGATATTATGTTTTAGTGGGAGTTTGTATTTGTGGTGCTTTATGTTTGGTTGTATTGTCTGATCAGAATAAAGTATTCAGTTAAGACACTCTGTTACATTATGTTTGGTTTTGACCTCACTAAGGAGGACCAGTTGAAAATAGACATGTACTGATCACATTGCATGTAATTTTCATGCTGCACATCCATGATTGATCTATGTCGTTTGATTGTATTGGTATATGTGACCATTGATGGGTCGAGTCACGATAAATGTGACGAAGGCCGCTTTGATCCTATATTGATATAGTCAATGGACGAGATTGTTCGGAAATACCATTTCAGTGATAGCAATTTTTGAGCTCATAAGGTTATACACAGTTTAAGGAATCATATGGTGCCCAAGTGGGAGATTGTTGGATTTAATCTAATAAATCTATTTGTGGGCACATATGATTAATCAATGTGTATTGCTATCTTTCAGGATAACCCACTAAAGTGATCAATTAAGTTGGGTTAATGGGTATTTAAATATAATCATGGGGTTATATGTGCAGATACCAGGTTGTAATTGTGATTTATTGAGGGGCTAAATTATAAAATTATAACATCTATAAATAAGGGGTTATGGTTCCTAACCTAGGGTTACATTCTCTAATTCTCTGCACCCCCATCTAGCTAGAGAAATTCGGATTTAGAGAAACCCTAAGGTTAGAAGATCCAAAACCCATCTCAAGGTTCATCCATGGACTCAGGTATAAGCTTCCGCTCTCTTGATTATTGTTAATCTCTTTGAATTAATCATGGCTATATGGTTTTAGATCTCAAGTTTTGGTTTAGATCTAACACGAGCTTTTTTTCTTTTTTTCCTTTATTTCGCAACGACATTAATGTGTATAGAATTCACCAACATGTACTACTGATAACAAGAAGATTCGTATCCTTTATTTGAATATAGAGCTTTACTCTTCTTGTACACTAGTAGTTTTGCCAACACAAGAAGGTTGGAGCCCAAAACATGCAACTCTCAACAATCATTGATAATTTTGCATATTCACCACCTTCTACATGCAGACCCTCACCTTCAAATGATGGCAACACTCTCCGCTATCATCTACAGGGGTCTTTGAGACTCGGGCAAGTGATCCACATACAATCCATGTATCATATCTACATACTCACCAATCTTCCCTACCTCCCAATCTTCAGTTTTTATCGGCCGTAAATATTTTACGGTGAGCGGCGCCGGCCTGACTCTCAAGCTATCCTTTCTCCAAGCCAAATGAGTTCCACTAACAACCATTGGAACTATAGGCAGTCTTGACTGTAGTGCTATGTGAATGAAACCCTACGGTAAAAAATAAAAAAAAAGATGATGCCATGAGAAATTTACACAAAAAAACAGGATTTGTTTATTTTATGCTCGCCTTTTTGAAGGGGAGGAGCCTCCCAGTCTTTGATCTTGTGCCTTCCGGAAATATGATCAGTGATAAGTTTTGCTTGACGAGTGCACGAGCCACCTGAATCCAAATGCAGAAATTTTGGTAAAAACTTTTTACGTACTTTTCATGATTTTACATTTACATTTCTGGAGTCATAAATAAAAGTATATGTGAACCTCCCAAACTTAAGTAATAAAGTAATTATGCTGTGTTTACATGTCTGTAAAATTTTTTTTTAAGTCTTACGTATACACAATTTGCTATATATGCAGAGGTATAATTTTCTACTAAATTGACAAGACTAACATGATCCACAACCCCAACCCAAAAAATAAATAAAAGGAAAAACCCCATAAAATTTCAAAGTTACAATTCCCCCCTCAAACGTCAAATTGGATGCGTAAACCTTGGCCATAGTATTGGACGGTTATCATGCACATACCAATACAAACATGTACGGGTATTGTACTAGGAAGGATTAGTTGCGGATAGACCACACGTAGTAGCGCTGTTTTGAACTTACTACCCCGTACGTAGCCCTATTGTTACAGATAGACCCCCCGAGGGAAAGAAATTTCTTCGACTCTTTTACCCTCAGAGAAAGAGAAAATTGTTTTTTTTTTCCCTCTCCTTTACGGAAATTAACATACCTCCTTCATAGACTCAATGGCAGCAGAGGGATTAGAGCGATCGATCCGAAGGTGATTCGCCAAGACGTAGAGCTGTCCAAAGAGCGGGTACCATACGATCTGACATGCACGGAAACGTACACTCACTTTTTGTACGTGCATGAGATGGTCTTAACAAGTCAGAAATTAACACATACAGAGATTTCTCGGAGATTTTCATTAATTGATTTCCAATTATTAATTGATCGAAACAACTAATTAATATTCTTTCTCGTCCGTACCTCTTTCTTCGCGATTCCGACGGTGCCCGTTGGAGTCAGCCACATAACGAGGAAAATGGCCAGAGGCGATGCGTGGTTGCAGATGTATACGGCTCTTTTGTTTGAGAATTCGGAGCCTTCTATTTTAATTGGATTTCCTAGAATCCACATCTGAATAAAAAAGAGAAGATCAGCGCAGCAAATAACAAGCATTTTCGAAAAAAATCATAACATGATTAATTAGTTCAAGGTCACATAGTATATATATATGCATGGAAGGGATGGGTTTTTTAAAAAAAAAATTGTCGGGTCACTTCAAAAAATTCTTTTTGAGGCTTAAAAAAAACCATTTTACTAGTTATGCATGTGTTGTAAAAAAAAAAAAAAACATAAATATGCGTTGGATATGAACAAAATTTAAACTTTAAAGAAAGGTAGCATTGCAAATTAAGCCCAAGAAAAAAGACTTAACACCTTCATTTATTATAAAAAATGATTAGAGCTACTCTTGCGGGGCTATCCGTGTAATTAATTACAATTAATCCTTTAGTAAAGTTGTGCCTCGGTTCCATCAACTTTACATAAATTAACACGTGTCTTCTCTCCAAAGTACTCTCCCAGCTAATAACTGATTAACAACGGAATTAGAGATTAATTAAAAAAAATCTATTTTTTTACAGCAGTTCGGCGCCGTGACGTGGCCGTAGAGGATTCCGCTGCCGTATCCTCTCGTAACGCACGGCAGGCAGGAAGCAGCATGACGAGGGCCACACCGGCCGTCGTCGCCGGCCATCATCAGGAAACAGGACGGCGAATGCCTCGCTGCCGAAAGCGACCAATGCCGCCCACGTGTGGTCCGGCCTACGTCGGGGGCGGTCGCGCCAGGAAGAGGCTGGCGGCGAGGTGGAGGCGAGGCGGGCGGGTGGAGTGGAGGTGCGGGAGGAGGGAGGCGACCGGTGGAGTGGCTGCAGGCTTATTCATCGTCGCTGTTTCTTCTCTCTAGAGAAGAGCTGGGGGTTCCAAAACTTTAGGTGTCCAAATATATAGAGAGAGTGTGTGGTGTGGGTGGGGGGGGGGGGGGGGGGGTGCGTGTGGACCTTTAGCGTGGCCAAAGCTATTAACAAAAAAGAAAAGAAAAGAAGATGTAAATTGTGGGTATCAAAGTGCCACATAAAGAAACTTCGAGTACTAAAATTATATATATATATATATATATATATTATATTATATATATATATATATATATATAAGTATATATTATATATATATGATATGGGGTATGCTTAGTACTAAAAACACAAATTTTATACTTGTAATTGATGTGTCACATCCGCATCCACTCACTACTCATGGTGAATTTGTTCTCACATTTGAATGAGTGGAGGGGGATTTGACACATCACTACCGAAGCATAGCTTTTTTGCTTGTAAACAAAACATACCCGCATAATTATATATACTATATATATATATATAGTTAGTATAATATAGTATAGTATATATATAAGTATATTAATATAGTATTATATATATATATATAGTATATAGTATATATAGACAATTGTGATCAAGCAAAAATTAACCATAAATTAATTTAACGAAAGCCATCATGTTTTATGTAATCTTGCAAGAAAGTCTTTTCCTTCTGCTAAAACTAGCGGTGAACATTGTGCAAAGCGCGTACATATTATTTTTTTTCTTGCTACAGTAATCTCTATTTTTTAACGTTGCATCAGTATTTTTAAATTTTTAACTGCTACAGTTCCCCGCCTCTGCTACAGTATCCCCGTGTGCTACTGGGTTTTTTCAGAAAATGCAATAGCATCCCGTTTCATGTTTACTATAATGATAATATTACAGTAAATATTCTTGTAGCGTTTACTGTAGCATGAATAGTGACTCTTGGGTTCTCCCATCTGTATAGAGGAGTAGATTAAGACACGTCTTTGGAACATTTTCTTTCTTTAAATTATTGTTGTTAATTTTATTTTATTTTATTTATTTTTTGATAGATCCATGACTTTTAAGTTTATGTAACTATTAAAAAAACTCAATTGAACAGTAGACGGTTTTTTCTTCAGAATATGTTTAAAATCTCAATTGTATTTTGTTCTGCTATTTGTATCGTATCATTGGGTGTGTTGGAATGGAACGAAAAGAAATCAAAGCTACGATCATTTTTCAAAAAAAAAACAACAACAACATCTATTATTACTTGTTTTTGCCAAATATGCGAGTATGACAAACCATTGAATTAATGAATCCCAAGAGCTTCAAAGAAATTTTAAAGGGAAATAAAGAGAGAAGTTTCTAGTGGACAAATGGTGAATGTATTTTATGGACAACAAATAAAGAAAGTGTGAGGGACAAATTTTCAAAACCAACCCATTTGATAAACTAATTGTAAAAAACGATCCGTTTCAGATTTATTTAGAGAAACCGACCTGGTTTCAGCACTGTTGCTGAAACCAGGTCGGTTTTTCTAAAAAACTTTACGAAACTTCACGGGAGTTCAACTCCTGTGAAGTTTTTTCTTATAACAAAACTTCATGGGAGTTGAACTCCCGTGAAGTTTCGGAAACTTTTTTTTCAAAAACCGACCTAGTTTCAGCGCTGAGGCTGAAACCAGATCGGTTTTTGCAAATAAAACTGAAATGGGTCTTTTTTTGGGAATAGTTTATCAAATGGGTTGGTTTTGAAAATTTGTCCAAAGTGTGAGGGGTCCTTTTCCCTTTTTGTCTGCGTCCCTCCCCTTTCCAGTGGTTGAAAAAATTGGGCCTGGATATTTGCATTATCTGAACCCAGGGGGCAAAATGGAAATATTCAAAGATGTTAGAAACTTCTATAATCACTATTGTGCCCATGATCCCTAAAAAAAAACTGAAATGTGTGGCTGCTATGAGTTCCTTCAGTAATGTGCCATGTGGCTCAATATAAAAAGGGTCTTTTTTCTTAAAGATTAGATGGGGTTGTTTGTACTCTTGTGGTTGATGGTTGATGCTCACGGAATTTTGGTACATTCTGCTTGCACAATGTTGTTAAAATCTCATGTGGAACCTGGTGCACTATAGCAAATGAGAGAAGGAGGTGTGGTTAGAGGTGTGGTTGGGGGTGTGCCCCTATCATTTTTCCATAAGTATTGGTTCTCGGTTGTTACTTTTCAAAGAGGGATGAAGTGTTTACCTTATTATAAAAATATAGAGTAAATACAAACTATTACACAAATCTTGCACTATTATTTATTCCTAAGCACTTAAAAGAGTTATTTAGCTCGAATTGTTTTGGTTTAAATACATATCATCGATAAATTTTGAAAACAGATCCCTTTGTAAAAATATTTCCAAAAAAAGACATGTTTCCATTTTATTTTTAAAAAACGACCTAGTTTTAGCCTCAGTGCTAAAACTGGGTCGGTTTTTAGGAAAATTGTTCACAAACTTCACGGGAGTTCAACCCCCGTGAAGTTTTTTCATAACAAAACTTCACGGGACTTCAACTCCCGTGAAGTTTTGTTTTTAAAAAAACTTGTTCAACTCCCGTAAAGTTTGGGAACATTTTTCGCAAAAAACGACCCAGTTTCAACCCTGAGACTGAAACTAGATCGTTTTTTACGAATATTTTCAAAACAGGTTTTTTTTGGGAATATTTTTGCAAAAGGATCTGTTTTTAAATTTTGCCCTACATATCATACCAGAACACTTGCGTATGAGGACGCAGTAGTCTAAATCATAAGGGGAAAAAACTAGTGGCTTATAACAATTAGTGTTCTGATAAAAAAATTTCTCTATGTAGAAAAGAAATTAAGTGATAGTTATTAGATGTACCCATTTTGATAGAAGATTAAATTGTGAGAAACACTTATCATATTCTTTTGGTATATATACTCATTGGCCGCCAGCTTTCATACTTTCCTCTACCGAGAGCATCACGGGAATCAGGATCCTTTCTTTTGTATTCACTTTTTCAACAGAATAATGAACAAAAGAATATATATATTTTTTTTTTTTTGCATAAGCCAACCGTGGAATTAGTGTGCACATGAAAGTCAATGATACGCAACATATTTATGATTAATTTCAAATCAACATCTCCCTCAACAATTAGTCACTATGAATTGTATGCCACGGGAATAACAAATTAACACTGAAGACTTGGATGGAGAGCCTTGGTGGGCAAAAGGTGATGGAGACAAATGGTTCGGTTGCTGGCCAAACGTTGACGAAGACTACACAAAGAATTCAGGCATTTATCAAACCTAAACAAATTTGTATTGGCTGTTGCTAAAGTAACAATAAAAGTGCACCATGATCCCTATTCTTCTCTTTAATACCTGAAGAAAATTTTCTCCCATTTTACCCCGTGTTATGACAAACTCCCCAGGATAAGCTAATATCAATAACACGAGAGCATGAAAAATATCAAGAACACACGAACACAAATATATACGTAAATATATACGTGGTTCGGCTTGTAGCCTACATCCACGGGCGAAAAAGGAGAAAACTTTACTAATAGGAATAGAAGTCCACATGTTCTAAAACCCAACAAAAGTCCAAGTACTAATAAACCTCTAATATAATTGGTTGTGCAAAGTCTAATGTAAGTAGTGTTGGGGATTCGAAAACAAACCGAACCACGTAGGAATACACCTTAGACTAACAAGTAGGACTCTTGATCAAAACAAACCAACCTAAAAAGAACTCCCAAAGCAATATAGATTTGAGTATTTGAAGCAACCTATAACACCCCCATTATCGAACAACACTTCATTGGTTAGAATAAACAATAAACAATAGTGAAGCCAAAATTTCAAAATCCCAACCATAACCAAGACAGGAAATGTTTGCCAACAAAATGACATCAGTTCAACCCTGAAGAGTTTTAATGGGAGCCATAGCAGGTTTGGCTCGTAAAAGTAGTTTCTTCATGTGCTTGATTTGTCTAAGGACGTGCCAAACAGTGGCTCCGAACTCCCTCACCCTGGCATTGAGCTTGGATTTGAGCTTTCTAATTCTGCATCGCCTTCTTTTTCTCAGTTCGAACTCTTTCATTGTCTTGCAGATCAAGAACTGTGCTTTTCTATGGCTAACATACTCTGGGTCTTCTTTCTCTAGCCTACCATAAGAGTAAGGCAATTGTGGTTTATGGAAAGAAGAAATAGAGGAAGACTTCTTGTTTAGCTGTCAGGTTTAGAGATGCATTCGAGGGCCAACTGTAAGGTGTCATAGGTAAATCAGAAGCTAATATAAATTATGTTCCTGTTATACTTTATAATGTTTAAAGTTAACAATGTGGGCTTTACATAACAAACCCTCCAAAAAGTACTCTTGCAATTATTTAATCTTAAATTCATAGAATCAAATATTTCAGGGTACAATCTAGAAACGAGGATGAAGCGGTTTATATGCTAAAACCTTAGTTCTTTATAGTTTTAGCAAAAAGATCGTATAAGCAAGCTTTCACATGATATCTGTAAATTATAATTCTATCATATGATTCTCTTGTTACTTCTAAGATTTTGAACGAAGTGATCAATCTAATTTAAATGCTCGCTTAATAACCTACAATTGCGGTAGTGAAATAATAGAATAAGAGAAGGATGAATCTGCTAAGTAGTATGTACTTCCAATTCCAGCTATATGTTGCAAGTACAAAGAATACGTGATGCACAATTATATTTGTCTTCACTTATAATTCCCTTTTGACATTGCCTAGGAAGTTGATTGTTACCTATTTTCTTGTTCTCAAGTTTTTTTTTTCTTCAAAAAAAAAACACTTACATATTTCCAACAATTGATTAGAAACAAGGTCCTAGAATTTTAGGAGGAGTTTTAGTTGGAAACAATATTTGTTTAGAAGTTGAAGTCTACAATATTACTGTTATTTGTGTTATCAACAGGCTACATCTAAAGGGCTTGTGCAGATTGGAAGAGAAAAGCATCTTTTTCATGCTCAACTGTGTGGTATCTCCTTGCAAAAATCAATTTGCAAAAAAAAAAAACATCTCATCATTTACAGCAGCCGTTGGAGAAAGCATTGCAGTCACAGCAAACAACAGCGACATTGAAGTTTGATTGGTGCTGTGAAGATGGCTGTCAAGAGTATATCAAGATCAAGCTTGGGGGTTAGGCTAATTCCGCATGTTGATGCATTTCGGTTAATCTAGAAAATTTTAGAACCTTTTTAACTACCAATGTAGTATTTGAATGTATTTTGTATTTAAGCTGATGTTGATAATACAGATTTCAGTGCAATAAAAGTTTCTACGAGGGTTTTTACATTGGTGGAGAGCATTATTCTTCAATCCAAGTTCTCAGATCTATCGTCAAACTATATAAGGACAGACATAATTTTTACTCTGTCAAGCAGTGTGAAAAAAAAAATGATAAAAATGAGCCTAATATCTTTACATATTTATTAAATTCTAAACTTTGGCCATATATTAATAAAATCAACATACCGTGTTGAAGGTAGCTCTCCTTGTTGTTACAGCTATCAAAACAAAAGCATCAAATCATTAGTAAATATTATGAGGTGGGTATGCTTTAATTTTTATATCCTATTAACATCGTGATGCAGTGTAACAAACGGACACCAGAAGATGTAAAAGCAAAGACAAGGGAATTTAACAGAATAATTAGATTGCTCATTTATGGCTTGAATACATCAGATCAAATAAGCAGATATCAAGTAGGAAATACCTCCTCTAGAGTTTAATGATGTGATACAACATTGAAAATAGAAAGGCTCCGGATAATTGCCTCGATATCTTCAACCTCACTTTCATCAATTCCTTTTCTTCTTACTAGCTGCTTTCTTCTTTCCCTTCCCAAATCCAGTTCCATTATCCTGGTCGTATATCAGAAGTGCAATAAGAATGTATGGTCTTCATAGTTAATACTTTGCAAGTTGTATTAAATTGTTAGCTGAAGACCTAGTTATTCACAGACCAAAACACTCATGAGTAGTAAGTACTGTTAGCCACTTCAATGAATTTTGAGATTTCAGTCTGTAAACTACTTGATTTGTGAATGCATAAATGAGGAAAATGTCAATGAAAGGCATCATCAATAGGAAAGCTATCAATGAGGCCTACCAACTCCGAGGATTGACAAGGGAAAAAAAGTAAAGACACGATGTAGTTGCACATGTAATTTTGTATGCATTATAAACAACAAATGCAAATCTCACCTTTTTATACTGTATATAGGCGCTCCGACCTGTCAGCTCCTGTCCATTCTTAGAGACATAAACCTGTAGCGAACCGAAGATGAAAATATATAATGAAAAGAAGAGGAAAGCACAGCAAATAGTGCATCCAAACAGATATATTTTACATGGGCACGTATATTGATAAATACATATATGAAAGGATAACTAATGAGTTTTGAACTCCAAGAAACCAGCATTGTATGACTCTGCAAACATACCTTTCGTCCATCTTGCCCAGTAAACCAATGAGCACTCTGACCGCCAACAGCAGAGACTCTTCTCTTTCCTGCATCCTTTGGGATTGTAACATTGTTTCTGGGGTTCACCCAATTTCCTTCAGCCTGTGAGGCCTCTTTACAGTTAGAAGAGGTTGGCCTTTTCAGCTTTGTTCTTGGGTTTCTTTCGGAACCTTTCCAAGTTCTTGGGTTTCTTTCGGAACCTTTCCTACTAGTTGAACGGACCTGAGTAGCGGCATCTTGAGCGAAAAATTGACCCCTACGGTAACAGACAGACAACATTAGAGGCTATTTAGAGAAGATACAGATTTCATAAAATAGAAACTGAACAGGCCATTCAAAGATATTTATTACATGTAATCAAGGTCATCTCTCGCAAATTTTGGGGCTCCTCTACAATCTTCTGCGCCAATTGGAACAAAATGGGGTAGCCGCTCGCGTACTAAGGTCCTGATTCTTGCATCATCGTGAAAAAAATAATCATAAGCAGGAGGTTTGGGATGAGGAAAGTCCCAATTGTGTTCATGGTTGCTAGAGATGCTTTTCTGCTGGAACAGAACTTCAAAATCATCTTCTGGATCAAGTACTTTGGAACTGCAAAAACTTGGAGCATCTTCCTCGCTTTGACCAACTTTTTGGCCTTTTGTCGATTTAAAATACTCATCACAAAACTCATTAAGAGCAGGTGTAGCAATATTAGTGTTTTCCTTAAGCCTGAAGCCTTTCCAAAAGCTTTCTGTTGGATCTTTATGGGGCTGAAATGTTTTCTCATGGTTCCTGCTGGTAGATTGGAATGGAGTGCCTTTTCTCTTTTGGTTTGATGGATCAACCTCCTCAATCTTGTCTTTTCCTTTGCTGGGAGACGGTTCATCAGAATCTGAGTCCAGAAAATGGATTTTTCTTAGAGGACTCACAGTTAACCTTGGAAACAAGTCCTTGTTGCTGCTCGCCTGAAAAGTCGTGGTAGCAGATGCAATATTAGCTGGTGGGATCATGGGCGTCTTCAATTTACTAGTTGACTGGCTACTTAAGATCCCACGATAAAGTAAGGAAGCCTTTGAATTGCTGCAGGTAGCATGACTTTGTAGTGATGGAGATATTTCTGCAAATGCAGAGGCAAACTTTTTTTAACAATAACCATTAAATTCACTAAGAAAAGATGTTCAAAAACATTCTTTGGGTCCTCATTTGAAATATTTTCATCTTTTGGACTTAAAAGATGTGCAACGTGCCCCAAAAAATTATGTAATTTTGCATATGTTCCTCTCGATTCTCCTAATTAAGGCAGATACTTGTGAAATTTTTGTCCTTGAAATTGCTTATGTATAACAATGGCACTATATTTGCAATTACTTGTCTAAGTTCTTCCTTTTATTATTGCTTAAGATGCAAGCTTCAAAGAATAAAGATTCATCCAACCAAAGATACGTACATCTCACATTGTGTCTAAGTTCTTTGTTCTATGGTAACTTGAGGGAGCAAACTCAAATAATTCAGTGTACATGAATACAAATTTGTAATATTTCAGCTCCATGTAATGTACATATATACCCACCGAACTCCTCATGCCACTGCAATATTCAACAAGGATTGCAAGGTAAAAATATAGTCTCTTTAGCTTTTCTTAAGTTTTGTGCTTCATCATTTTCTTGTATTTCTTTTGTTATTTAAATTATTATTTTTTCTAGGAAAAGGATAGAGCATGGCAACTGGAGCTGAAAACAAGAAAATGGAAAAAACTATTCATGCAGCGGATTCTTCCAAGGAAGATTGGATTTTGGAAAGGCCATCATCACCATTCATCCCGGTAACTTAAGTGGTAGATATATTATCAAAGTCTTTGGCGCATAAAAAGATATGCTCGATGAAGGAGATTCAAAAGAGCTTTATAGTAAACAATTAAGCTTAATACTTGTTTCTTATCCATCAAAAAAAGTTATTATTTGATTAGCACAATATTTGCTTTGGTTATTTTCCATAGTTCTCATACAAATATAGATGATGTAGGAGAAAACGGTTACTCGTCGCGAAATAGTTCGCGAAATATAGATGACCTGTTACTCTGTTAGCTTCCAATATCAAGTCTTATAGTGATGAGGTATGAATCCAATGGTCAGGTTTTGTCTAAAAAATTTAAATAGAGATGTAAATATTGTTTGTAGCATATATTCAAGTAACTGCTTAAGAATATTTGAAAAATAACAGTTGCAAAACATGTACCCCTAAAATGCAAGCCATTATTGCAACATGAGTTTATCCTGGAGGACGATATTTGATTATTACTTTGCTAGTTAATATTTTTAGTATACAGTTTATGTCTGACTCATTTTCTTTTATAAAATCATACATTTATACATAATAATATTTGATAAATATCTTATGAGTCTTATAATTAAGAAAATTCAATTGCGTATTCAAAATACAGCCATGATACAGTTTGGTCCTTAGATTAATTTCTCAAATGCTATATAATTAACCAGTACTAAGAAGAATCATGCATTTTTAAGATAACTGTTTATCTTGTGATTGTAGCAATAATCCTGTTATTAGTGTCAGTATGATTAGTATAATGAGTGTTTTGTTTCAACAATATGGCTGAATTTCTAAAAAAAATTCCTTGCAGTTAAAGGCAACACCTGCGATTCCTAAATTAGAGTAATGAGAGATATGAGATCAATGAGATATGTAGCAATTTCTTAATTAATCATAAGAAAAATAAAATAAAAATGATCCCGTGCATTTGTCCTCTGTTTTTTTTTATTTTTTATTTTTTTTGCTTGTGGTCTCCCTTTTTCCATAAGTTTAAACTGAGTGACAATTTTTTATCAATACTTCTATAAAGTGGTGTGTGGAATGTGGGATAGGGCTAAAAATAGATGAAAAATGCATATAAAAAAAATGAATAATTTTGAATTATTTGGTACATCATAAAAGAACATATACATGTCACACGTAACTTAAATATATTTTGTTTTGTATAGTGTGAACAGAAACACTTTCATAAACAGTGGAATTGTCAGAAACAACTATTCCTGATGCAATCTATCAAACTCGAATCAAGAAAAGTGTTCCATGATACCTCAATAAAATAATAGTTACATGAGACAATAAAAAAAACCTAAGCTCAAACTATTAGACTAAATACCTTAAAAAATATTAGACTAAATTAAATTTCTAGTATAATCCAATTTCCAATTCTTTAGTTTCTTTGGTTCATTTATTGAATGTTAGTGGTTCAAAATTTAGATCTTTTTGAGAGATTTTATGAGGAAAAAATATATATATATATATATATATATATATAGAGAGAGAGAGAAGAGCAAAACTTCTTCAACTTAAGTGGACGTCCACTAAGTTTCTTATCCATTGATGATCACTTGATTGAGCTACATTGTGGATGATCCCGCTCCGTTAAACTTGATCTACATATTCTAAAACTCCAACAACCAAATTTGGGGTGAACTCGTCGTTGTGGTTTGACCCTCCGTCGAGCCATGTAAAAAGTTCTATTCACTCGAACCGTTAAAAATTGATACGAGTGGATGAAGAGTCAACCACAACGAGTTCAGCCCAATTTTGGTGTGTTGGGGTTTTAGAATATGTAGATCAAGTTGAACGGAACGGATCATCCACAATGTAGCTCAATCAAGTGATCATCAATGGATAAGAAACTTAGTGGACGTCACATTAAGTTGACAGAAAGTTTTGCTCTCTCTCTATATATATATATATATATATTATATTATAATATATATATATATATATATATATATATATATATATATATATATATATATATATATATATATATAATATGTGGATATGTACGTATCCATATATACATACATATCCATATACATACATATCCATATACATCCATATATATATATATATATATATATATATATATATATATACATATATATATACATAACATATATATATGAGAAAAATGTATGTATGTATGTATATATACACACACACATATATATATATATATATATATATATATATATATATATATATATATATATATATATATATATATATAGATTATATAGTTAATTATTATATATATAATTATATATATATATATATATACATATATATATATATGTATGTATGTATATACACACATATATATATACATATATATATGTATGTATGTATATATACACATACATACATATATATACACATACATACATATATATATATGTATGTATGAGAAAAATGTAGGAACTTAGTACCAAACATAAATTTATAGAAGGACGAGAAGGGGAGGATGGGGTAAGATCCAATGAGGTGCAAGGAAGGATATACCTTTAGTGCAAGTTGGTTGTTAGCAGCTATCCTATACACAAAGTCAGCAGCACTGGGCTCGTAGATGATTGACGTTGTTGATTACACAATTCCTCATGGAACCTTTACTTATAATTTTTGTGTCTTGATTAAAAACAAGGCTTTGCAAGATGATGAATACAACCAAAATAACCAGTTCTGTTGTTTCATCATCTCCTCTTTCATAAAAAGCTTGAAATTTCTTCAAACTTTTCTGAAAAGACATCAAGTAAAATAGCCTAGCATGAAAGCTATTGGATACCTCAAAACCTAGAAAAGAACCATATGAATCTACTGGATATGTCAATACCCGGAGAGAGGGAAAAACCCAACCACACGAACGCAAGGTCTTATAATCTCCATGAATAAGCTTTAACTATGAGAGACATTTCCCGTTCTCTCTCTGTCATGTAATTAGCTATATTTATTATTTCTCTAGTTGACTTTATCATTAACCCAGTTTTTGAAATGATAATTAAATTTCCTTTAGGTTAAATTTCATTTGGTGAATTGTACCAAAAAAATGTGAAGCAGACAAGTTCAATATGTTAAGACTTCTCTTATAGAGGAAACCAATGCACTAAATTTTTATTTGCATGGAGAATTTCTCTACTAAAAAAGCTCAGCAAACTAAAGCGAGCCCTCCTGATAATGACATTTAGCACAAGAGAATAGATGGTCTAATTAGTTAGACACATGAATTACAATTGTCTCGTGGTAAAGAACACCGACTTTTCCAATCACAAAGAGATGAAATTAAGACTAGAATGTATATTGGCAAATATTTCAATCAAAACTCCAGAATCAACAATGTGACCTTAACAACAATGAAATTCTGAAATTCCTCATCATTTAGCTGCTATCCGACTAAAAACAGTTCCTTTACCCTTGCCCTTAATTCTATAGAGAGAAATAATAGCTAAACAAATAAACCCCCAACTCATATGGTAGCTAACCTGGATACCTAAGGCCATCTCCAACCGGCCTCTAAAATGGCAAAATCTCCAAATTTGGAGAGTGGAACCTCTCCAACCACTCTCCAAATTTGGAGATCTCCAAATTTCACCCTCCAAATTTGGAGGGTGAAGAGAAAATTTGGAGAGTCTCTCCAAAGTACTATTCATGTTTCATTAATTACAACTTTGTCATTTTTAACTATTTAATTTCTTAAAAATTTACCACTTTGCCATCATTCTTAGTAATTTAAATTAGATGTTTAATTTTAAATAAATATAGTAAAAAATTATTAATCTAATATTTAAAATCATTATATATTTGGAAAGGTCTCATTGAGATCTTTAAAATGAAACTAAAATTAATTTATTTTAGTATTATACTAAAATTATTAATTTTTAAATTAAATAAATAAGTATCAGACATGAAATTTTAAAAACAGGGATCTATTTAACTTGCCCCATAAGAAAATACAAGCATAAATTACAATATTTAAATTATATTCCTTCGTTGTCATGTCTCTGCCATAAATGTTCAATTGTATGTTATCATATTTTATGTTTGAGGTTTATGTTTGCGACCTATGGTATGTTGTATTAGAGGTTCATATTTGTGTTATCATATTTTATGTTTGAGGTTTATGTTTGCGACCTATGGTATGTTGTATTAGAGGTTCATATTTGCTTTCTTGTTCTATCGATGTATGCGTTATGTTTGCGACCTATGGTATGTTGTATTAGAGGTTCATATTTGCTTTCTTGTTCTATCGATGTATGCGTTGTCACTGTTATTTCAGATTTTATTTTTTTTAATATGTTGTATTGCATTATTAATATTAGGTTCATTTTAAAGTTCGCATCGACACCTTTATAATGTTATAATTTTCCCCCAAATAAATTATTAAAAATAATATTATTAATGTAAACTATATCCAATATTATTAATTTATATGGTTTTTTTGAAAAAAAAAATAAAAAGGAAAACATTTGGAGATTGTGGGTTGGAGCAACTCTCCAAATTCCACTCTCCTAATTGGAATATTCATAGAATACTCCATATTCATAGAATATTCCAATTTGGAGGTTGAAATTTGGAGGGCATGGTTGGAGATGCTCTAAGATCGACAAGAAATTCCAAATATATCATCAATATAGCTATAACACCAACTAAACTAAAACTACTCATTTACCCTAATTCATCAACCGATTGTATATAAAGATCAAATCTTTGCAAAGAAACCCTGAATCAAACTACAACTAACCTGTACACCGAGGATCCTCCTTCTCTGGAGAAGAGAAATCCTCAATATCATCATCAAGATTCACGTTCCCCTCGTCAGCTATTGTCGCCGAAGGC